AAAATGGCCAACAATAACTTAAAAGAAATAGGCATACACTTGTTCCTGAAAAAGCAGATGGAATTAGATAATAATCAATTAACAGCTATCCTAGAACTCCATTGGGTTTCTTGGACTTGAAGGAAGCTTCATGGGCTAGTCATTTCCAAAAAAAAAAAAAGCAGGAAAAAAAAGGAAAGAGGGAATGAGGATGTGAGGAGAAAGAGAAATAGAGATAGAAAAACAGAAACAGACAGAGACAATAATATAGAGAGAAAGAGAAAGAGATAGAAAGAAGAGTACAGCTGTAGTCTCTTTCAGGAGGCTGGAGAAAAACTTCAATATGGCCTCTGACCTTATTACAAGAAAATAAATTTCTTTCTGCGTGCATTTTCCTTGTATTCTTACTACATTGGATCTAGTTAGGCCTTCTCTCTTGTTGAAGTCTTTATAGTTAGTTCCCTAGCACTCCCTGCAGTCCTCCAAGTGTTGGAAGCAAAATTGTACCTTTTGTATTTCAGGCTTATGTTCACAGATGAGGGTCACTGGTTGGGGTTGGGTTTCCCCTCTTTTAAGGGACAATTCACAGAACTGAGGAGATCCAAACCTTTAAAAAAAAAAGCTACCTTTGCAGTATAATGACATGGACCATTGTCTCTTCCCTTTCCAAGACCTAGTATTCTGGTGCTGGTTGAGTGTGTGTGTACGTGCATGTGTGTGCACACACGTTGTGAAAGGCACATAATTAAGCCCTAATTCTAAACTCCCAGGAGGAAATACGGTTCCAGTAGATAATGCCAATATTGCCAAAGATAACTAAACATGCAGGCTCCTGAGGTGGGTGAGTACTCACTATTTTAGTTCAGTCAACATAACATTAATATTCTATTGGGAAAATACCCGGGAAAGATGATGTTGGCTTTCAGTATACTTTTGTTACTTCTATATGTGCACTTCTTATAACTGATGGGGGCGGGGCCCAAGCCAAGATCTTCACCCTTTGCCCCAAAGGGAATCTGACTCACAGGCCCCAGACCCTCATCTCCCTTGAAAGCCCTAGCTTACCTTTAGATCTTATTCAGATGCACCTTCAACCCTTGCCCTGAATAGAATCTGGCTCCTGTTTGTCTACAGGACCCAGAAAACCCTTAAACCTTCAAATTTCCTAATCAACTCCCCTCATATCCCTTTGAAAGCCTTAGGCTCCCTTTTGTCTATAGGCCCCAGAAAGGCCTTCCTTATAGACTTCCTTTATCTCCTTTTGAAAGTCCTAGCCCCACCTTGATTTTGTGCAGATGCCTTTCAAACTTCTGCCTTCCTATTCCCTCCATTATCTATTCCCATTGTCTATTCAATCTCTCTGACTTCCCCAATTACAATTCTTACCTAGACCCATTTCCCAACCCCCTTCTCTGGCCACCCAAAGTTACTTTAGTATTTAAGATCCACCCTGGCCCTCATTCAGATACTGAGAATCTCATGCTCAAAAGGCTGAGAAGCTCTCATGCCTGCTTGTCTTTATGGGTGTCACCCGGCTGAGAATCTTTCGTGCCCCAAAGGCTGAGCCTTTCTCATGCCTGCCTGTCCTTATGGGCGTCACCTGGCCTCTGTGATTTATCACTAATAAACTTTTCCTCTGGCTGAAGAAGATTTGAGTTGAATTCATTCAGCTGGGCCTGGTACCGCGATGTTGGGGTCCCAGCACCCCAAAACCCCTAGACCTCTTCATAACTAGCTCCTTTACTCTCTGGGACCAGGCTTTCAAGACCAGGGAGAGAAGGGGACTCTAGGCCGTTTCTAGATTTGCTCCAAGCACATTAGAATTATGAAGCAGTTGAAGTGCATGTTAATTGGACTACATCTATGAAATAAAATAAAAGTCCAGATGAGAAACAAAACACAAACAAAAATAAAACAAACACACCCGATCCCCTGAAGGTTTGGTCCAAAAATGTCAGCTATTCAGATGTTTCCAAATATGTGTTAGTGCCAGCTGAGGCCTATTAGCTAAGGGTGGACAAGGGGAATTTGAAAGAGATGACTTAGAAATCCTTGGAACAACACTCCTTTATACCATTGTTGCTCCACAGACTTGCTTCTGTAGTCATTGTTTTTCCTGTGGTTCCCCAACCCTAACATGGTAAATTGGATGGTGGTCCTGATCTTACTCCTCTTGAGCCTGAATTCGTGGCCTCTTATATATTCATATGTAAAATGCATATGTATGTTATTTAGTCATTTCAATCATGTCCCACTCTTCATGACCCACTTGGGGTTTTCTTGGCAAAGACACTGGAGTGGTTTGCCATTTCCTTCTCTAGCTCATTTTTATAGATGAGGAATACCGAGGCAAACAAAATTAAAAGACTTGCCCTGAGTCACACAGCTAGTGTTTGAGTGTTTGAGAGCAGATCTTAACTCAGGAAGATGACTGCAGACCCAGAACTTTATCCACTGAACCCCCTAGCTATATGTATGTATATGTGTGTATGTATATGTACGTATTTGTGAGTATATCTATCTATATGTATATATATACATACACTTATACATACATATTTACGTGTTAATATTCTCAAAGTATTCTTATAAATTATACTTAACAGTACTTTAAAAACGGTCCTTTATTTAATTGATGTCTGTACTCCCTCCACTGACAGAAATCATAAAATTTCCACTCATCACAAATTTTATTAAGCATTTCCTGCATGCCAGGCCCTGTGCTAAGTGCTGGGGATATGAAGACAAAAGCAAAATCGTCCCTGCCCTGCAGGAGTGCCTTAGGAGACGATCTTTACATATTACTGTGGCTAAAAAATTCATCACTTTGCAACCAACTGATGAAAAACTCAGTGTATTGCCTCATGGCCTGGCTTTAAGTTCAATAACTACTTATGAATACCAACCACATTTCCCTTTTCCTCTCTCTCTTCTTTCCCCCCCAATCCCATTTTCTTTCTCTGCCTAGGACAATGCTTAGCCTCAGATAAAATTAAGTTTAGGATTAGCAAATATGGCTAGTTGGGTTAGTGAACATGATTAGGTTTTAAAGAGATACAGATAGAGACAGAAAGAGGCAAAGTGACTTAACTAGAGTATCAGTAGAAAAACAGTCACAAGAACTCAGTTTCAGTTGTTAGGCAGTAGGTCTCAAAAAGGTGAAAACAAACAATTCACCCTCTCTGCCTTCCCCTCCCTTCCCTTCCCCTCCTACCCCCCCCAATACAAAAGAAGCTTCAAAGTAAGTGTTGTGACCACAGGCAAAACAGGTGGTTCCACTCTAACTCTAAGTTGCACTAAACGAAGTTTAAACTTTCAATGTTTAGTCGTTTTTTTGAAAAAAATAAAATGAAGCAATGATTTCTCTTAGGGCAGAAAAGAGACTGTTTGTTGCTTCCTGCCAACTCTTCCAAAGTAGGGAATGGATTGTAGCTCCACCTTCCAAGGCAAACGAGTTTCCATTCAGCTGAGATCTAGCATGGAAAATTTCAGCCTGAAATGATCACTTCCCACAGGTTTTGAGAGTAGGAATTCAATCATCCAATTCAATTCAAAGAACATCTATTGAGAATGTACTGTATGTTATGCCCTTGGAAGATGAAGTAAAAATGAAACAGTCCCTTGCTGTCAAGGAGTTTCCATTCTACTGGATGGGGGTTCTTACAGCAAGGGGACAGATAAGTAAATACAAAGGAATTGCAAGAAGAGGAGAGAACCAACCTGTGGGGGAGGAAGGGGAGTTGGGTCAGGAATGGTAGAATGCAGTAACCCAATTCTGTTACTTAGACTGATGCCCTCAACACTGCCCGATGAATACCAGCAGAAAAGAGGCAAGATCAGATCCCATAGGACTGATGAATGAATGAAAACTGGAGGCTCCAAGCATTTTCCTTAAGATAGTTTTCTATAGTTATTAGAAGAACCCAATGGAAACACACAGATAAAATTTAGAGCAGAAACAATTGTCTTTGGCTTATTTGGAATTCATTCGCATAATCTAGTACTTCTATTCTGTGAAGGCACAAAAGAACAAAAACCCAGTATCTTCTGGTCTAGGCTTGCTAGATTGATAAGATTTGGACTGAAAATTTTGTCTGCGTATGTGTAGGGTAGGATGGGGGAAGGGCCCTTAAAATGATCATATTTTTGATTTGATATTGCTGGCACAGAACATCTGCCACTGGACTCTAAATCCAACCTCTAAATCATTGCTGAGTGTGAAGAAAGAGTGCCTGACAGTGGTTCACTAGGATTTCATGCTCCATGCTATCCTGATCTGACAGAAAGCCAAAGGAATACCTCTGGACAATACACCAACCTCTTCACCTGCTCCTTAGCCGTCCGGCTAAACACAGCTGCAGGCCCATGCCAAGGATGGGTTTTGATGTCTGTTCCTGCTTGCTTCTAGCGTACATAAAGAGGACTGACAGAATTAAGACAGGTGAAGACCTTGTCTTCACTATTTATGACTTCAGTGACAGGAAAACGTGAGAATTTTCTTGTCGAGTGTCAGCTATCCCAAACAGCAACAGATGGGTACTAGACATGGATGTTCCCACTTCCTCATGGTTTGGGCTCCTTCTTCAAATCAGTCTCTATCTGTTTGGCATTCACTGGATGCTGAGATAGTGGTGATTTCCCTATTCCTTTGAGGAAAAGTCAAATTTCCAGCAGGGGACAAGGCTTAAAAAGGGCAAACAATGTATTTTTCAAGAAGCTACAAATCCATTTATTTCACAGATTTCCAAAATTTCTTATATGGTATCAACTGAGTAATGGCTGTTTGAAAAATGCCTTGAATTCACTTTGTTCCTTTTGGGGAAGGGAAGCTTGACACTCTTCCCAGCATTAAAGTCCCCTTGTGCTTACTCCAAATGAAACATTCAATATAGGGTAGGTCCAAAGAGTTCATAATCTAACAAGGTAGTGCGTTTCTTCTACATCCTAAAACCAAGGAGGGGAGTGTAACTCTGATGGACTGGCTGCTTTGTTTGTAGTTTGAATGCCAACTGTATACTTACCTGAAAGGCTATTTTGTGGAGAACTCACACAAGGCTGACATGGACATCAGAAGAAATAACACAAGGGCATTCTCAAGGTCTCTCTGAAGAACTTTGGTATCAATTGTGAAACATGGGAGACACTGGCAAAGGATCGTCCAGCATGGCATCCTTTCATCAAGCAAGGTGTTGGGCTCTAGGAGCAAAGCAGAATTGTGGTAGCTCAAAAGAAACATGAGATGCACAAATTTAGAGACATCTTCATCCCAAATACTCACATGGATTATGTGTGCCCGACCTGTGCTAGAGCCTTCCAAAGTTATATTGGTCTAATTAGCCACAATCAGATACAATCTACCTTGAACTCAGCATCATGATGTCATTTTGGTCCTCTTCAAGTACAAAGGACAACAACGAATGAACAAACAAATGAATTAATGTTGCACCTAAATAGTAACTCCTTGTGGCATTTAAGGTTGTAATTCCTCACCCTTTCTACTTGTTCAACTTATTCCTCTATACTCCCCAATATAACATCTCAAGTATAGTCTGCCCTTATTTCATAATTTTATTGTTTAATTGTTTCAGTCATGTACAACCCTTCATGACCCCATTTGGGGTTTTCTTGGAAAAGATACCAGAATGGTTTGTCATTTTTTTCTCTAGTGGATCCATTTTGTCAGGCAATCAGAAGTTAAAGTGACTTGCCCAGAATCACACAGTTAGGAAGTGCATGATTCTGGATTTGAACTTAGGTCTTCTTGATTCCAGGCCCAATGCTCTAGCCATTGAGCCCCCCGGCTGTCTTCTGAGCTACTAGCTTAGCTTAAGTTATTTTATAAACATAACATTTCATTTACCTCCTTTGTGCCTTCACTGGAGTGATATCCCCTTTCCCATCCAAATCCTTCTCATCTGTTAGTGGAGGACTCTATTTTCCCCACGAAACCTTAGAATTATTGGAAAAGGACCTCATCTTTTACAGATGAGGAAAGAGAAGCCCATTGAGATTAAGTGACTTGCTCAGGGTCGTATGTAATAAGTGGAAGATCAGGATTTGAACCTAGATCTTTTGATTCTGCATCTAGCATTCTTTCTACATTAACACTCATACTACTGACTTCCACACTGACTTTTCTCTGGATTCCCTGATGCATCATTCTATAAAATTTTGTGCTACATAACATACCACTTTATTTTATTTGAAAGTCAGAGTGATATAATGGATAATGAGCTGCCCTTGGAGTCAGGAAGACCAGGATTCAAGTCCCACTTTGGATCCATACTGGCTCTGTGACCCTATTTCGGCAAGATGCTCAACCTTTCAGTGACCCCAGGCCCTTCCCTAAGAAAAGTTGCTGACTAGGTACAAATTTTCATTGGTGGACGGAATTTCCTCATAGGGAGTTATTTCCCTATGTCAAAAAATCAGAGATCTGGTCAATTTTTATGATCTTGTATTGCGTTCTAATGACATCATTGTTACATGGTATATATAATTCTTATATTCATTATATGTTTATTCATTATTATATACTATATATTGGGCTTATTCCATATTAAATTAGATGCTTGTTGAACTTTAAATCTTCCTCACACCCTCTTTCACTTACTTATTCTAATGTACCTACCATTTATATAAAAATAACTTGGCTGAATGTGGGGAGGGGGGTATTTTATTGTGCAGCTATAGCTGTTTTGTGGATATGATTTTTATTTCGGGGTGTTTAGGGAGTGGCCCCTTACACTCTTGCTAATAGTCTCCATTGCAGCATTTCTGCCTCAGCTGAGCCAATAGTATTTTTCAATGCCCCACTATCCTACAGGAAGTCAACATGCTTGGGCCTACGGGTATGTTTTTTAGAAATCAGCTAATCGACATCAGCTGTGCTAAGCACATTTTCAGCAGGCATGTATGCTGGAAAGTACTACTGTATTACTTTTATTTTAAACTAAAAAAAAACTGGAAATGAAACAAAGCCAGGGCAAAGTATTAGAATGTGCTTGCCCTTGGCAGCATTAAGGGGGCAGGACAGTGAATGGAACTAGAGCATAGTGTATGTAAAATTCTCTTGATTTTTGCCAGAGCCCAGGGTTTTATGTGTTTGTATATACATATAATACCTATATAGAGATACATATATACGTATATGTATTTCTCTATATAAACACACACATATTACACAAATACTTTGGTATTATAAAAAATAATCTTTTAAATACCATGGTATTTTATCCATAATATTATTGAAAACTTTTATTAAAAATTGAGATACCATAGGAATCACATAAAGCATTTTATAAGCTCTGTGTATTCCCTCTGCCCTTTCGGGGACATTCTCAAGAGAGACTGCAGATTTTCCAGATACCTGGGGGATGCCACAAACTAATTTGTCCCTATATAGTCCCTGGGAAACCATTCACCACCTTGTCTTGAGTTATTTAAGTTGCCTGTAGTCTCTCACACCTCCCTTTAGGAATTCTGGAGAAATGAGCAGCGGTTGTGAGTTTTTGCCAGTTTAAATTATGAACACTCTTCCCTCCCTCTCGCTTCCCCAAACTAAGCCACATATGGGCTCTCTTCTGGTCCACCATGTCTAGAAACTCTCTTACTGGGCCTTGGGGGCTAGAAGAGCCACTTGGCAATAAGCATGCCTCTGGTTCATTCCTCCTTCTCCTCCATTCTTCTGTTTACCCAGGGAGGGTCTGGCAACCTCCACCCAGCAGACTGGACAGATTCCCCACTGTGCCAGGCACAATTTCCAGGAGTACCATCCCTGCCTTGGAAAAGCATACAAAGGGCAGTTTACCTCACAGACCACTGGGGAAATTCCCCATTACTCTGTGGGCAGGCTGACCCTTTAAATAGTGCTCATCTGGGATTAGGGCCTTTTTTTCCCCCCAACCTTCTAAACACATATTTCCTTTACATAAGGGACAGTAATTGCTGTACAAAGCAGTTTTTTGGGTTGAATAAATATTGGATTTTCCTTCTTATCCAGCTGAAATAAAACCGATTAGCACTCAGTCTTTGGTAATACTGTGTTCTTTAGCCTCCACACCTCACCAACATTTAAGGGCATCCATTGGAATAAATTCCCATTTACTATACTTTAGACCCCTGACCTTCCACCGTCAACCACACAGTCTTCTCTTTAGCCAGGCAACAGCTCTCTCTACCTGTGCTCCTTTCTAAAGTTGGGGTAACATCAAGTTGATTCATAACTATGTGACCCTAGGTAAGTCCTTTACTCTCTCTTTACCTCAGTTTCCTCGTCCTCTTCCCTGTTTTGTCTTCCTCTGGATGCCTTCCTGCTTAATAATAGTTATAAAAATAGTCTTTTAAACATCATGGTCCTTTATCCACAATATTATTAATACATTTTATTAAAAATTAAGATACCATTGAAATCTCATAAAGTATTTTATAAGCTTTATGTGTTCCCTCAGCCCTTTCAAGAGAGCCTTTCCTCAAGAGAGCCTGCAGATTTCCCAGATCACTGGAGACACCACAAACTGATTTGTCCCAGGAAAACCATTCACCTTTCTTAAATAGAGTGTCTTGAACTGGGTACAGTATCCTAGATATGGTATGGCCAGGACCAAGAAGAGTGGGTTATCATCTCCTTATTTCTGAACGTTATTAGCCTCTCCTTGAAGCCCACATTCTTGTTTAAAAGCTGCCAAGTCACACTGCTGCTCCAGATTGAGCTGATAGTCCCGTGAAGCTCCCAGATCTTTTCCCAAATAAATTGCTGAGTATGCCTCCTGCCATCAGTTGGATGGGCCACTGCTCTTCAGTGGCCTTTGATTGTTAAAGCAGTTGGAGTGCATTCTTGTTCAGACTTCTGTTTTTGTCCTATGGGCCCAGCTTAGGCAGAAGATGGCTTAGACTTTGCCACTGTTAGGGGCTTCCCTGCTTTGCCCTTGCACAGTGGCATTGACCTGATGCTCTGTCAATGGACTCCCAAGAGAAGGGTATTACTGTCTTTTCTCTTTCAGCTTCTCCATTCCAATAGATAGCCTTTGGATCATGTTATCAGAGAAGGTAAAAGCTTGGGCTGGGAGAAGATATGAGGAAGGAGGAGGGGTGGAAGGAGGGTGAGTCATTCCAAAGTGTATGCCGATGCAGTGCTCTTAAAGGAACCCTGGGGTTTTTGAAGGAGAAAGTGCTTAAAGGCAGTTTATGTAGCCAAAAGTGAGGTGGTAAACTGTTGCCCTGGGACCACTATAGGGCATTTTGGCAGGCCCGTTTATTGGGCTGTGGTACTCCCTGGTTATCCGATACCTTTGTGGCTCTCTCTGTGAATGCCCGTGAGGGGCTTGGGTGAAAATGTGCAGCTTTTAAGCATTTTAATGTCCTTTCTATTGCATTTTAATTTTTAATAAAACTTTTAATAAAGCTCTGTTTAAAGAGCCACGGGGATCAAAAGACTCCATTTAACAAGGAGTACAAATATTGTGTGACTGAGAGAGAGAGAGAGAGAGAGAGAGAGAGAGAGAGAGAGAGAGAGAGAGAGAGAGAGATGGCCTTAAGGAGAACATGGAATATCCCTTTCAAGTAAATGCAATAACATTTCTATTGGAGTGGGGAGAAAGAAAAGGTATACACACATGGTGTGGGGATGGAGAATGGAGTGACTGGGGAAAAGGAAAGCTAGGAGGATTGAAGGCCAATCTTGGTGTTGGAAAAACTTGGATTCAGGTGCCAGAATTGCAGAATTTTACAGAATCTGAAGTTGGAAAGGATATGGCATTTAATAAATGCTAATTGACTGACTGAACTCAGTAGGCATTAAGTTCAACCAGTAAACCAAAAGAATTGATAAGAATACATACATACATATACATACATGCTCAATGTGTGATCGTCCAACTTCTTTGTGAAGATGTCCAAGAAACCTACGATCTCTGGAGATAGGCCAGTCCAAAGTCCTGGGGCAGGTCGCTGAAATTCTTCAGTGTCCCAAGCAGTGTCCCAAGTCTCTACTACTGTGATAATGAGAATTAATGAAGAATGAATGAAGAAAGAATTAATGAAGAGAGTCCCCCCTGCTTGGAGTTTTCTAAGTTTAAGAAATCACAGATTGGGACTAAGATCTCCATTTCTGTGTATTTGACACATGATCACATATGCATATACAAACGCACATCTATATATATGTATTATTTGTTGTGCTGGGCAGTCAGTAATTCCAGTCTTTGAAAGAAATTGCTGAGCTTTTGGCATCCTGAAATAGCCGCCTCTTCACATGATGGTCACGCTGCTCCAAAGACAGTGTGGTAAACCATGCCAAAATTCTTCTGTTTCGTTTGCATGAAATTGAACTGACAGATATACCTGTCTATTTTGGGGTCCAAGAAAATGTCTTGTTAGAAACGTGTGAAAATATATTATATGACAGACACTGAAAATGTCTCAGATGCAGCAATAAATTGATTGTGGTTTTTGGACCAGATGTGAACTAAGTTTAGAATTCATTGGGCTGGTCTGTATTCTAGCTCTCCTGCTTAAGCAAACAGAGAGAAGTGTCTACTTTTCAATGAAGCCCATTATGTGAGAAGGAGAGGGTTTCGGAGTTTTTTCCCCCCTGCTCTTGGATGATAGAAAATTAGAGGCGTCTAAAAATCGGGAAGATTTCTCCTTCTTCCTATCGGTTGAGCAAAGGATCAAAATTAAACAATCGACAAATAAGTCTGTGTTTTTGTTCCTGTTCTTAAGATCAGACCCAGTCTATAAAACTTCATGGTGGTAATGGCCTTACTGTTTGGGTTTGCAGATCCCAAAGAGTTATATTGCATATAGTTAAGGATGAGAGTGCAAAGCTTTGTTTTGATAGTATATTTCAATTGAATTTGATTTTTTAAATTTAATATCTAGTTGCACTGAACCCAGGCCCAGTTAATAGAATAAGCAGAAGTAGCCCAGAATATTACAGGATCTCTTAGAGACAAAAGAAGCTATCCACAGATGTGTTAGGAGGATGAGCAATGTTGTCTTCCTATGTGTGCTTAAATACCTCCCCCTTGGCGTATATGAGGCTTATTTCTCATGCTGATTTGCTATTATAGGTTACCTCATTTTCCATTTAGTTGCACACAGAGCTTTAATGCTTAAAAAAAAAAGGTACTTAGTCTGACTCATCCCCTTACAAGCAGAAGATTCATTTCTTAGCCGTTTATTAATCCTATTTGATTTAACAAATATTATTGACTACATGCTATAAACTCCACACACTGTTAGTCAACTAGAATTAATTAAGCACCTACTGTATGCCAGGTGGATCAGCTAGGTGGCACAGTGGATAAAGTTCAGCCAAAGAATCAGGAAGACTCACCTTCCTGAATTCAAATTTGGCCTCAGATACTTACTAGCTGTGTGACCCTGGGTAAGTCACTTTACCCTGCTTGCCTCAGTTTCCTCATTTATAAAAATGAGCTAGAGAAGGAAATGGCAACTCACTCCAGTATCTTTGCCAAGAAAGACTTAAATGAGGTCCTGAAGAGTTATACATGACTGAAAAATGACTGAGCAGCAACAAAATATTCCAGACACTGACCTCAAAGAAGCGATTTAAGACAGAGGTGTCAATCATGCTGCCTGGCCAGAAGAACCCAATGCTGAAACTGGATCAAAATCTAACTGGGAAACATTAAGCAAAATCAATCAACTAATTAAATAAATAAACAAAATAAATATGAATAAACAATAGTGTCCAAAATACAATAAAAACCGCAGATAACCATTACATTTTAAAACTAAGTCAATATGTAGCCCTCAGGGATCTAGATGTACCAATGAGCATCCCTCCATTCCCTCTATTTGAATTTGACACCACCGGTTTAAGCACTGGGTAGATAAGACACATACAATGAAGCAATCTGAAATGCTATTTGAATAAATGGTCAAATGTTTGAGGTTAGAAATGCGATAGTAATTCAGATAAGAGAAAGAGAAACCAGTGTAGGCCAGAGTAGTTGGGAAAGGATGCATGGTGGAAGTATAAGGTGATGTGAAGGTGGGGGAGGATTCAGATAGATAGATGGGGCCTGTGAGCAAATGCACAGAAGGTGGAATGACTTACCACCTTTGTGGTAACTCACTCAACTTTTCAGGGCCCACATTTCTTCTCTCATCTAATGAGAGCAGAGGTCTCAAAAGGTCTCTTAGTTCCTTATTGCTCTCAATCTCTGATCCTAGGAATGTGGCAAATCCATAGACTGGTGACATCATCTGGAACAGGGGAACTGGCAAGAGGAGGCCATTCTAGGTCTGAGAATGCAGGGGAATCACATCACTTAAATAAAAAAATGAATCCTGCAGGGGATCACCCAGGTTGAGTTGGGAGCACAAAGGGTGTTTTATTGCTGGAGAGAATGTCAAGATTCCCTCCCCCGACTGGTATGAAGTAAATGCAAACAGTATTCCAAATGGTTATTACTCAGCTGATGTCGGGCTGGGAGTTTCCGAGAGTTGTTTGCGAAATGAATAGATCTCCTGTAAGTAACTGCATGGAGAGAAGGAAATGGGGAGGGGGGCATCAGGGAAAGGGAGAAAGAGGAAGTGAGTCCAGGCAGTAACAGGTGCTCACAATTTCCCTTTAATTTTCCTCAATTGCCCAAAGGCAAGGAGGAGGGTGAAATCAGAAAATACAGAAAATGCAGGAGGAAGAGAATCTATTGGATTTAGGGAGACTGGAGGCAAAAGTAGAACACTTGAGATAAGAATCAGATTTTTAAAACAGGCTGGTAAATCTTCTCTTTGAGAGCCTGTGTGGTAGCCTACAACATGCTCTGCCTTCTCATTTTAAAGCTATGCAGGGACAGGGTACATATGCCCCTAAAATCCAGGACATCTGGTTTTCAGAACTCTCTTGCCCTTGCTAGCTGTGTGACTGTTGGAAATCACTTAATATTCTCCGAGCTGAGTTTCCTCACATGTAAAAGAGGAGATAATCACCACACTTCCTACTTCAGCGAGTTGTTTTTGAAGAAAGAACTTTGTAAACTAGAAAGAGCTGTAATTTGAACCCAAGTGAAACAGGCAAGCTTTGTCTACTCATGTTGTCCACATTCGGCTCTAAATGGCTGGGCAGTAGGCCCAGCACCACTGAACGGTGGAGTGAGTTAGTATCCTGGACACCTGTCTATTGCTAAGGAAGCTGGCTGGGGGGGTTCCTGTGGGTGAGGAAGTGCGCACGCCAGAAACGGCAGCCCTGGCTTATTCGTCTGCTACATCTTTGTCATCATCCGAGAAAGGATGGAAAGGAGCCTTTTTCAGGCTTAGGAAAAGTAAGAGACTGAGATCTTAGAGGAAGTCACATTTCAGTATGACTCAGCTCCGAGCTGGGATGATGCAAGATGATGACGGAGGTAGGAAAATAGGAAGAGAAAGCACTGGCTACATTTTGATATTGTTCTACTTTCAAAGAAGTGATTGTCATGTGAAATAAGGTGGATGTGTTTTTCTTCCTGTGAGCTCTGAGGAATGGAGGTGACCATAAATTTCTTTTATTATGAATTTAACAAACAAGGATGGTTCAATATATACAGGATGGGAGAGTGGGTTTTACAAGAAATTAAACTATTATGTACTTTATTTTTCCACTAAGTGTGTTTTAAATTTGACAGGACAGTGACAAAACGGCATTACTTCTTTGTGTCCTCTTCTGAAATTCCTTTTGCTATGACCTTGAAAGCTATGTCAATGGCATTCAAGTCCTGGCAAGTCCTACCAAAGAAGAAGGGTTAGGTAGTGTGGTATATTGGTACCATGGTTAAGTAGATTAGGGCCCTGGACTTGGATCAGGAAGAATTGACTTCAAATCCCACCACAGATACTTACAAGCTGGGTGATCCTGTTGAATAGCTTAATTTCTCTGAGCTTTACTTTTCTCATCTGTAAAATGGAAGTGATAATAATACCTATCTAGTCTAAGGATTCTAAGGCTCATATAAAATGTTGCCTATAAAGTGCTTTGCAAACTTTGAAGCTCTATGTACACATGAGCTATTATCACAACATTGTATGTCATTGGAAGTATTACAGGTTTTTTTTAACTTAAAAAAATTTAAGTACTAATGAAATTTTAATTTCAAATTAAAAAAATTAAACACAATAAGTCATTTTGCACATACCAAAAGGACTTTTCAGGCTTTTGCACAATCATAGAATCGCACTTTGAAGGCCAGATAGACCAAACCATACCTTTATAAGAATACATTCTGTAACAATACCTAACAAATGGTCAAACATCCTTGAAAACTTCTTGTAAAGGAGAACCCACCATCTCCCTGAGGGAGCCCATTTCACTTGTTGGATGGCTTTGATCATTAGATGCTTTTCATTAAGCCTAAGTTAGGAAGGTTTATATCAAGCCTAAATTTTTGCTCCCTATTTTGTCCCCAGTGGCAAACAATATAAGTCTATTCCCTTCTTCCATATTCCAACTGTTCAAATGCTTAAATATAGCCCCCTTACACTTATTTTATCCTAGCTAAATGCCCTAGCTGCTCCAAACAATCCTAACATGGCATAATCCAAAGCCCCTTCATCAATGGGTTGCCCTCCTTAGGATGCTCTTCAAGCTTATCAATGTTGTTCCTAAAATGTGGTTCCCAAGACAGACCCCAGTGCTTCAGTTATGATCTGACCAGGGTCAAATACCTTGAAATAGTTACCTGCCTAATCCTGGACACTATGTCTTGATGCTACCATTTCACTCTGCCAACTCACATTGAGGTTGCATTGACAAACATCCAGACAGCAATGGCCATCTAACCTGGTTTTCTTGTCTTGGGTTTTATTATTAGTATTACTGTTGTTGTTGTTTTTAAAATTGATTTTTTTTCAACTTATGCTTAAGACTTTATATTTGTCCCTATTAAATTTCATTTTAGATTTCATTTTAGACTTGGTCCTTCTTATTAATGGATAATAAAATGAATGAGATAATTATTTTATATAGTAGAGAAGAGGGAAATGCAGATTAGAGATGATGAATTATAAGCTTTTGAAGGGGTTGATACTTATAATTTTCACAAGTGAAGAAAAGTTTACTTTCATTATTTGTATCAACTAATACTACTTGGTGGAAAAAGAATAATTTACATCTACAATTTACATTGTTCTCCCATTGCAAAATGGAGCCACAGTGTATTCTTAAT